TTGAGCTCAGACGGCACTTGCTATCGTCACGGATAATCGGGACGACTGTGACGGTCGATGCCGCCACTAAATTTGTTTTATCTTCACCGCTCATTAAAGTCGGTTCGAACTCGGGTCCCGAAATGTCTCGAGTCCCGATCAACCAGTCAAACCACTCGACCAAAGTGACTTATGTAATTACGTCCAAGTAAAATTATATATATAGCTCAAGGAAAATAAAACGCACCGTTTTGACTCGGTGGTTGTAGTAAGAAGAGGAAGAACACAAAAAAGGAAGAGACTTTCTTATCAGAAATTGAGAGAGGAATAGAAATCAAAGAGAGTTTTGTAAGTAAAAAAGTTATGAATCTGTATGCGCATGACCTCTCTTTTCTCGATTTTAACTACAATGTCTCGGGTCCTTACGGTGAGCCACTATCTCACCGGTTTATCTCGCCTGGTCCTTTTTACCACGGCGAGGACGATGATTATCGCCGTAATATGAGCTTTAGTCGCGACGGAGCTTATGCCGGAGAAGCGGTTAAGGCCGATCCGGAGCATCGCCATGACGGGAGGTCTCCGTTACCTTTGGGGATGGATTGGAGTGCTCCTCCTCGGAAATGGGTATGTTCTTCTCCGCCATTTTTGTTAATTTGAAGGTATTGGACTATTATATGTAGAAAAGGGTTTAACTTGAAATTACAAAACTCTCTTAGCTTAGAGTTTACCTTCTGAAAATGAAAACAGTTGGTTTTGTATTCTTTTGACGTTTTTTTCTGGTTATTGTTCTTAACGGTAGGAAGGAAGGAACAGTGTTTGGCCACATGATCCTCGAACTGGTTGGAATTACTGTGTCACAGTTCCCTCTTGGGTTGACCTTCCGAAATCAAGTGCTTCAGATCCTGCCGTGGTGTGTATGATCTTTACACATAGCTGTTTCTTTTGTTCCGAACTGTTGTATTAATTTGCACCTGATGTAATATGCTAGTAATGTTCAAAACTTTTCCAGATTTTTCTTAGCTTTTATCTTCTGCCCTTATCAGTTTTATAGAGTGCAAGTGGCGATACAATCTCCCGAGGGAATCACCTCCACTAGGCTGATACTTAGAAGATTCAATGATTTCTTGGAGTTATATTCGTCTGTGAGTACTACTTTCCTCGATGCCCTTTTTTTCTGGCTTGCGCATTTGTTTCTGTGTGGGAGCGTATAAATCATACGATGCTTCTTTATGCAACTATGAGTTGCTTGAATTTGATATTCAGTCTTTTAATTGGGTTATGGCGTTTTCATTCTAAAATCCCTTTTCCCAGATCAAAAAGGAGTTTATGAAGAAAAGGTTACCCCAGGCACCTCCAAAGAAGATTCTGAGGATGAAAAACCAGACACTTTTGGAAGAGGTATATATCGATTATCACAACTCTAAGATTTAGTGACAGCAAAAAATATTCTCAAAATGTTTAGTCTTTTGCAGAGGAGGTGCTCTCTGGAAGATTGGATGAATAGACTTTTGTCAGATATCGATATATCCAGAAGTGCTCTGATAGCGACATTTCTTGAGCTAGAAGCAGCTGTCAGGTCATGTATGTCCTCTTCGTTTCCTTCTGCTTTTTTTTCTCTGGCTAGTGAAATAATTCAAAGAGAAAGCGAATTTATCTGAACTTTCATCCCTTTATATTTGTGTAACGACTAACGATTGAGGAATTTGATTCTGTTATGTTGTCTGGAAACCTTTCATTAGTGTGCCTATGTTCTAAATTGCTTCTTACTATTTGCTCTCTTCAGATTTCAATGATGACTATCAAGAAACTGAAGTTACCTCTGGGGACGTTTCGTCACTTCTACCTAACACCAGTTCTGATGTTCCTGGTAGCTCATCAGTTACAATTGATCATGTCAGCGATTCTCCTGATGAGACATCTGATACCTCAACACTGAAGCATGGCGAAGCTAGTCTCAAAAATCTTGACTCAAGGAATTCAACTTCTGAAGATAATGTGACTGATTGGCATGAATTAATCACAGAATATGGACTTCTTGATAAGAGTTCATTTGAAGAAAAAATAGAATGTCGTTCTAGAACTGCTGGAGCTGCAGAAACTGGTACCATAACCGGAGAGGGCATTTCTAGTGGAGTTAGATTTCAGAGGTTGGATGGAAGTGATAGAAAGTTTCAAACAGAGACCTGCATTGAGAGTGATATAACTCATGTAAGGGATTCTGAGGTGTCATCTTCTGGGGAGCCTGATTTAGTTAATAGTGCCTCTATGGACATTCATGATGAAACTCGTGGAAACATGTATGGTGCAGTCGGTGCAAATGCTGAGACTCAGAAGGATTTGGCTATTGTATTTCAGTCGGGGGAAAGAAATAAGTTAAAGAGGGTTATTGACACGTTAAAGCAGAGACTAGAAACAGCAAAAGCTGACACAGAAGATCTTATCTCAAGGCTGAATCAGGAGTTAGCTGTTCGACAGTTTTTGTCAACAAAGGTGTGCAGAACTATCACATGTGTTTTTAATCCCCTTGTCTTTTGTCCCTCATTATTTTCAATGTTTTATTCTGCTTTAAATTAAGTGAAGTGATCGGTGTCATGATTGTCTTGTATACATGTTATCTTGCTCTCTGTGAATGGATGCAATATGTTGCTTTGTATGTTTGGGATTTGTCTTGTAGGTAAAAGATTTAGAGGCTGAACTTGAAACAACTCGAGAGAGCTGCAAGCAAGGCATGGAACAAACAGTTCTGAACGAAAAGGAGAGATTTACTCAGATTCAGTGGGATATGGAGGAACTCCGCAAGCAATGCATGGAGATGGAAGCTCTGTTAAACTCTATAAAGGTATGTGGTTCTTTTAGTATCTTTCACTGGTGATTTCATTTACATTTAACGATGAATTTATATATTTGGCTTACAGGACGAGAAAGCACAGATTGAGACTACAAATCAATCCCTTATTGAAGAAAATCAAATGGTGCTGCAGCAGATCGATGATGTAAGGGACAAGTTTGAGAATTTGCGTAAAGAACATGAAGAGTTGGA